TTCTGGCCAGAACGCACCCTGGGAGAGGTCCGGGGAGTAGCGGTATCGGTACCTTTCGGTTGCCCCAGAGACGGCGGAGGAGGAGGTGGGAAGGGGGAAGATGAGGAGGACGAGAAAAGGGTCGAGAGAGAGGGTGGACAACGCCAGGTCGAGGAGGACGGGGAAGATGTTGGGCAAGAAAGAGAAGGGCACACAAGACGACGGAGAGGAGAAGGAGGAGGACGAAGAGAAGGAGGAGGAGGAGGAGGAGGAGGAGGAGGAGGAGGAGGAGGAGAGGGAGGAGGAGGAGCAGGAGCAGGAGCAGGAGCAGGAGCAGGAGGAGAAATGACGATACACTCGATTGTGAGCTTCTGGCACTTGTCGTGCCACGGCTGGATTGCTGATTCCAGGTCGACGTTTCCACCCCCGCGAGGGTCCCACTTAACGCTGCCCCTCAGCTGGGATCGCTCCGAAATGATGCCCAGAACGCGCCCAGGGACAGGCCTGGGGGTGAGGAAGAATGTCAAGACCTTCGGCGCCACGGAACGCCGAGACTGCTGGTCTTCGCGCAATCTCGACGTTCGGCTGCCGTTTTCTCGGTTCCCCTGGCCGACGGCAAGGAGTGAAAACAGGCAGTCCCTGGGATTTGGGGTCGATGGGGGCCCGCGTCGCGAATCGGACCCCGCGACGCCGGGTGCCTGGGGTCGTCGGGGGGGAGGGGGGAAGTTGTCTCGCGATGTTCTCGTGCTTCTCTCCAGGAGGTTCTCCAAGGTTTCCAAGGGGCTTCCGCGCAGTCTCTGGGCGCTGCTGCCGGGGGGAGGGGCCCACAAGCGAGAACGGGCTTGGTGGCGCGCGCTCGCCGCTGTTGGCCTCCATGGGCCCCTCCCCGGCCCCGGGACAAGGTGTCTCCGGGAGGGCGAACCAAAAAATCGCAGACACACAGAAGAACGCCGATCCAGAGGAGACTGTGTGGGAAACGATGGGAAGTGGAAGGGTAGACGAACCTCAGAACCCAAGGAGCCTGCGGGGGGATCCTGGGCCCTGCGCTGCGGCTCTGCGTGTCCCTGGGCCCCTTCGGGATCTCTGTTCCCGGGGATGGTCCCAAGGGTCCAGGCCCCGCTCCCCCACCTGCCTCTGCGCCTTCTCCAGCCCGCGGCCCGTCGGCGTCGGCGTCGGCGTCGGCGTTGGTGTCATGGGTGTCGTTGGCGTCGTCGGCCTCGACGTCGGCGTCGTGGGCGCCGAAACCGCAGCCATTCGGACCCGAGCGCTGGCCATGCTGGGTGCGACCAGCGGCCAGGGCTCCTGGGACTCGCTGCCGTCGTGACCAGCGGGCGCGTGACCAGCGGGTGCGTCCTGCGGTCTCGGCGCTGCTGCGTGCGACCAGCAGGTGGGTCTTGGAACCAGCTCCGCCGCCACTCTCGGCTGCACAGCGAGCGACCACTCGCCGGAAGGACCTTCGGTGCGCGGCCTCCTCGGGTGTTGCCAGAAGTGCTCTTGGCCCAATGTGCCCCCAGCGCTTCGCTCCATGTGGGAGACCCCGGGGCCCTCTGGGCCTCGTGATGGGGTGCTCTGGAGGCCGTCTGGGCCGCCCCGAGGATCTGGGGGGCGCCTTCGGCCAGGCGCACCTCCAGCAACGCCCGACGCTCGGGGGAGGCCAGCGGGGAGCATCTGGGCGGGGCCGTCCGTGCGCAGCCCGAGGGCATGGCCAGCTTGGTGGGCGCGCGGGGGGCGGGCGGCCGAACCCGAGCACGCCGGCCGCTGCCGCCGAGCCCGCCACGCCCACGAGTCGGCAGGCCGCGGTCCGGAGGCCCCTCCTGCCTATATGCGGTGGCGCCCGCGTGCAGCGGAGGTCGGCCGGAGGGGCCACGTCCCAGCACCACTGCCACGGGGCACGACGGGGGGGAGAAGGGAGGATGAGGAGGTCCTCCCCCTCCTCCCCCTCCTCCTCGGCCCCCTCCTCCTCCTCCTCCTCCTCCTCCTCCTCCTCCACCTCCACCTCCACCTGATGTGTGGCAGCGGCGGCGGAACATCGGCCCATCGCAGTCGGAGAAGAGACACCTGAAGGAACGGTAACTTTTTGGAGGTGCGCGCTGATGTCTTGGATCTGCGCTGGCAGCCCCTCCCTCTGGCGCGCGGCAGCGGCGCCATGGGGCAGCGCCGCCGCCGCCGCCCCCTGGGGGGGGGGGGGGGCAGCGCCGATCCGAGAGCTCCGCGCAGATCTCCGAAGGCTTGAGCTCCTCTCAAGTCGGGCACGTCCCTCCACAGGAGAATGATTTACAAATCGTACAAACATCGTCAGGGGACGACTTGTTTGTTATCTTTGCGAATGTGTTGTCTATGCTTAAAGCGCTCCTCCAGCATCCGCCTGTGTAGGAGGACATGCCCGACCCAATGCCTCTCTTGTTTGTTGTCCCCGCGATCAGGGCGAGGCCGGGCTCCTGAGGGGGCCATCCCAGGCCTCCCCGATGGGGTCGGAGGATGCCTCGCCGCATCGGCGCTGCCTCGCCGATGCGGCTCGCCGTGGGGCCCGGCTTTTGCGCCGCGTCGACGCTGCCGATGCGTCGCCGACGTCGGCGATGCATCGCTGGTGCATCGGCGACGCGGCGCGATCCCTCGACCCATCGTCGGCACGAACGGAATGGGTACGAGAAGGATGGGTACAATGCCCAACAGCAGTTCTTGCGCATCTTGAACAGGACCCGCTGCCCACGCCGCCGCGGCCTCTGCCCACTCGAGACAGAGGGCCGCCCGCCCAACAGCGGCCGCTGCTGCTCTGGCACGACCTCTGTTGCTGGGCATGCTGTTTGTACCCCCTTCGGTCGTCCAGACGTTTGCTCGGGCCCCAGCCGGGAGGCCTCCACACACCCAGAGATCCGATGTCGTGATTTTTTCAACACGCGGTCCCTGGAAATCTCGACCCATTCCCCAGGACCGGTTTTTCCTCCTGGGTCGTTTTTTGACGGCCCCGAGGCCCAGCGAGGGCTCCGAGGGGCCGAAATTACCGAAGAACCTCCGTCTTGATTTTTTCAATACGTTGGATCTCTGTGTCCACACACAGGGAAGCGCCGTCGCCGCCATGGGGGGGAGGAGACCCCCCGGAGAGGAGGAGGAGGAGGAGGAGGAGGAGGAGAGGGTAGGAGGCGGAGGATGAGGAGGCGGAGGAGCAGGAGGATGAGTAGGAGGAGTCGGAGGAAGAGGAACGGAGGAGGTAGGAGGGAGGGCGGAGGAGAGGAGGAAGAGGAGGCGGTAGGAGGAGCGGAGGCGGAGGAGGAGGGGCGGTGAGGAAGGAGGAGGGGAGGAGGCGGAGGGAGGAGGAGGAGGGAGGAGGAGGAGGGGGAGGTCCACACACAGGCCGCGCCTGCCCCCATGGCGCACGCGGGCGGCGCGCCGCCCCTCGACGGCGGCTACGCCATCGAGGCGCCGCCGGCCTCCGCCGGCGCCGGGCGGCCTCCGCCGGCGCCCGGGGCCGTGCCGCCGGCGCAGGCGGCGGGGCCCGTTTTCCACCGCCGCCACGCAGCATAGGAGGGGGAGGGGGGTCCTCCTCCTCCTCCTCCTCCTCCTCCTCTCCTCCTCCTACCTCCTCCTCCTCCATCCCCGCTCCTCCTCCTCCTCCTCCTCCTCCTCCACCTCCTCCTCCTCCTCCTCCTACCTCCTCCTCCTCCCTTTCCTCCTCCTCCTCTTCGTCCTCCTCCTCCTCCTCCTCCTTCCCCCTTCCATCCTGTGGTGGTGGTGGTGGTGGTGGTGGGAAGCAGGCCCCCCCAGCAGGGGCCGATGGACCCGGCCGCCCGGGCTGCGTTCGCGGCGGGCTTCCAGGGCGCCTTCCTTCAGGAGCGGAATCACCACCTACCAAACCACCCCAACCCAACCAGAAGGCCTCAATTTGCCCTCCATCGGTGTCACCCCAACAATACCCTACGGCTCGTGTCGCGTCGACCGGCGACCCCGCCAGCGGCGTCCGATTTTGAATGCCGCGGGCGACCCAGAATTGCTCCATGTGGAACGAATTGGACGTTTCGGAAACGGACGATCGTTCCAGGATGAACGATCCCCGCGGTGTCAGAAACCAACGCCGAAGTCGGTACGACACGAACCTGACGTATATGTGCGTCGCCCCCCCCCAGGGGCGACGCGCGCACCGAGGAATCTTGAAGTGTATGCGACGTGGCAGGCGCTTGCTGGCCACGCCGCGCTGGAAATGGTGTACTACAAGACGGGTAAATTATATATATATATATATATATATATATATATATATATATATATAGATGTTCGGGTCGGACGCGCGCATCCAAGGAGGACATTCCCCAATCAGTGCTTGCACTGAAGGGGTCCTGGCGGAAATTCGCAAGATTTGGCGGAAGTTGCCCGCCGATTTTGGTGGCTGGCTGGGTTTCCAGGTTCCCGTTTCTGGGCTCCCGGGTTCCTGGTCATTGGTCCCGGTCCGAGTTCGGCGCCTGGTTCCGGGTTCCCGGGTTCCCGGGTTCTTGGTCGATCTCCTCATTGATCTCCTCATCGATCCCATTTCAAAGCGTCCATTGCTTGGGGTTCTTCTTTGCAGTACTAGCATGTCTCGTTGCGTCCCAGAGGGGCGTGCACGTACGCGAGTCCACGCTGGTCTCGAGCGTGCGCACTGCGCGACTGCTCGCACGTGCATGAATCCACGCTGGTTTCGGGAGGGCGCACTGCGCGAAGGTTCGTAACCATCACGCGGCCGGGCCTCGCGGATATGGGGGGGGGGGCCGTGTTCCTGCTCATGGCCGGGGGTGCGCGCATGCTCTTCCCGGGCTCCTCGTTTGCATGGAGGGGGGGGGGGGGCGTTGCCTCCATCGGGACGGACGAAAGGGGGTGATTGGTAAAGGGGGGGTTACAAAATTTGCTGCATACAGCTGATTTCGGCCTCACCGAGGGGCCCGTTCCTCGATACATAGCCGCCTCTGGCGCCGGGAGGCGCCGGGAAAATCAGCTACGTGAGCTGATTCTCAAACCCCCCCTTTGCTATCCCCCCCTTTCGCCCGACCCGA